AACAGGGAAAATAAAAAAAATGCTTTTCTTAAGATCAAAAACAAGACAAAGATATTTATTTTCAACACTCTTATTCAACACAATATTGGAAGTCCTAGCCACAGTAATTAGACAAGAAAAAGAAATAAAAGGCATTCAAATTAGAAAGAAAGAAACTGTCATTATCTGCAGATGATATGATACCATATAGATAAAACTTTAAAAATTACACACACACACACACACACGCACACACACCCCAAAAAGACAAAACAAAACAAAAAACATACTAGAACTGGTAAATACATTCAGAAAGTAATAGGATACAAAATAAATATTCAGAAAGTAGTTGCATTTTTATACACCAATAATGAACTATTAGGAAAAAAATAATCATTTACAATTGCATACAAAAAATAAAATACCTAGGAATAAATTTAAACCAAGGAATTAAAAAGCCTGTATTCAGAAAATTATGACATTGAAGAAAGAAAGCAAAAGAGAAACAAGTAAATCAAAGCATAGACCATACTCATGAACTATGAGTTCATACTCATAGGAAGAATTAATATGATTAAAATGTCCATACTGCCTAAAGAAATATAAAGATTCAATGTCATCTTTATCAAAATAACAATGGCATTTTCCACAAAACTAAAGCAAATTATCCAAAAATTTATGTGGAACCACAAAAGAACCTGAATAGCAAAATGACTTTCAAGAACAGGAATAAGGTGAAAGTATCATGCTACCTGATATCAAACTATACTACAAGTCTATAATAATCAAAACAACATCATAGTGGCATAAAAACAGACACCTAGACCAATGGAACAGAACAGAAAAAAAACAAAGTAAACCCACACCTTTGAGATCAATTAATTTATGACAAAGGGGGCAAGACTATACAATGGGGTAAAGACAGTCTTTTCAATAAATGGTGCTGGGCAAACTGAACAGACACATGCAAAAATGAAACTAGACTACCTTATAGCATATACAGAAATAAACTAAAAATAAAGACTTAAATATAAGATGTGAAACCATAAAACTTCTGGAAGAAAACATTGGCAGTAAGCTTTTAGACATCGCTGTTAGTAATAATTTTTTTTGATATATCTCTTTGGGCAAGAGAAACTAAAGAAAAAGTAAACAAATGGGACTACAATCGAAAAAGTTTCAGCACAGCAAAGGAAATCATCAACAAAACAAAAAGGCAACCTACTAGCACTGACTGGGTGGCTCAGCTGGTTGGAACATCAACCTGTGCACCAAAATATTGCAGTTCAAAACTTGGTCAGCGCACATACCTGTGTTGCAGGTTCAATCCCCAGTTGGGACACATATGGGAGGCAGCCAATCAATGTTTCTCACATCACTGTTTCTCTCTCTTTTCCGCTTCCTCTCTCATTAGCATCATTAAACATATCCTCAGGTGAGGATCTTTTTAAAAAGGAAAAAAGTAAAAATAAGAAAACCTACTAATTTTTGCCAATGAATTTTCTGATAAGCGGTTAATATCCAAAATATATAAAGAACTCACACAACTTAACACCAAAAAACCAAACAACCCAAGTGAAAAATGGGCAGAGGATCTGAATACATGCTTCTCCAAGGAGGACATACAGATGGCCAATAGACATATGGAAAGATGCTTAACATCACTAATATCAAAGAAATGCAAATGTAAGCCACGATGAGATATCCCTTCACACCTGTCAGAATGGCTATTATCAATAAATCAACAAATAGTAAGTGTTGTCAAGGATGTGTAGAAATGGGGACCCTCATGCACTGTTGGTGGGATTGCAAACTGGTGCAACAGTATGAAGATTCTTCAAAAAATTAAAAATGGAACTACTTTATAACCTAGCAAACCCACTTCTGGATATTTATCCAAAGAAATCCAAAACACTAATGTGAAAATATATATGAAACTCTATTTCCATTGCAGTACTATTTACAATAGCCAAGATATGGAAGCAACCTTAATGTCCATCAGTAAGCAGATGATTGTATAAAGAACACATGGTACATATATCTCATGGAATATTACCCAGCCATAAAACAGAATGAAATCTTATATTTTGCAACAGCATGGATGGACCTAGAATGTATTATGCTAAGTGAAATAAATCAGACAGAGAAAGACAAATACCATATGATTTCACTTACTTGTGAAATCTAAAAAACAAAATAAATAAAAACAATACAGAGAATAAACTGATGGTTGCCAGGAGGGAGGGGGGTTGAGGGCTGGGTAAAAAAAGATTAAGAATCACAAATTGGTAGTTACAAAATAGTCATGGGGATGTAAAGTACAGCATAAGGAATATAGGCAATAATATTGTAATAACCATGTATGGTGCCCAGTGGGTACTAGACTTATCAGGGGGATTACTTTGTGGTATATAAATGTCTAACCACTGTGCTATATACCCAAAAGTAATATAATATTGAATGGCAACACTAACTGAAAAAAACAAAATTAAAAAAGAACATAATTTTGTTTTCTATGGTTTATTCTTTGAAATATTCCATTGTTTTCCTAAGTCTTCAAGTTCTTTCAGTATCTTGTCTAAATTAAATCTGGATGTTTTAATGATTTTATTTTATTACTTATTTTTAGAGAGAGGGGAAGGGAGGGAGAGAAAGAGAATGAGATACACTGATGTGTGAGAGTAACATGGATTGGTTGTCTCTCTCATGCCCCCAACTGGGGACCTGGCCCACAGCCTAGGCATGTGCCCTGACCTGGAATAAAACTGGTGACCTTTCTGTTTATGGGATGATGCTCAACCCACTGAGCCACACCAGTCAGGGCTAAATCTAGTTGTTTTAACAGCAGTTAGCCAGTATTTCCATCATGTGGCCAAGAGCAGTTGTGAGATCGAATATGTTTTTCCAAGATGTTTCTTCTTTGGGTAGACACAGAAATATTTTTTTTGTAAGATCCATGCTTTATAAACACATATTCTCACACATCTGAATTGATACACAAGATTCTTAGTTCATTTTTGAGATTCAGAAAGCAAGTAGTTCAAAAGGTAAATTTCAAAATATAGTTGATGTAGCAAATGAATACATCAAAACAAACAAAAGCTTCATCCAAATACTCACATTTAAAAAATAGGCTACTTATTAAGTGTGCTTGAACAAACCATGTGTGGAATTGAATTCCATTTATTAAAGAGTTAGTTTCTGCTAAACACTGAAAATAGAGAAGACCCCTGGCATCTGAGTTCTCAAGTGTTCTCAATCTATGCTAAAAAAAATAAAGCATGACAAATAATTTCTGAGGCACTAACTTGAACCTCAGAAGTGGAAAGGCTAGCATGTTAAGTCCAATTACTTAGGACTCAGAAGGGCTGGCACTGGTAATTCAGTGTGGCTTTGCCATTGTGAGGCAGTCAATTAAACTTTATAGAGGTCATTTAAATTTTACAATTATACTTCACTGCATTATGTTCTAGTAGTTTCACAAACTTGGACATTCAAAAAGGTATCTGGGAATATATTCCTTGGGAAGGTGGAGGGGTCTCTTTATTACATTAAACAAAAAAAAAAACACCATGCAGTTTCTTAGAGCTCATAGAAGTTTTTCAAAATAAACTACTGATTATGCAGCCCAATTTAAAATTCACACACTTTATGTTACAGGTATAGACAGTTACTAGTTCAGCAATGCCAACATAGATAATTTGACACCTTTACCCCTACTTGCAATGCGATTAATAACTATAGAATAACTTTTATTTTATTGTCATTGACTTTGGCTCAGATAAGTTTAGATACTTAACCAATTTTGAAAGATATTTTTGTGTGTTTTGTTTTGTTGTTTTTATGTGGGCATGAGTGCAGGTAGAATTATAATGAAGAGTGGTCAGTTCATTATAATAAAGATATCAGTAGTTAAACAGCCACTAAAATTTCATCTACCATTTCCTTACAAAATATGTGTGGAAGAATATGACTTAAAGACAAAAGGAAAAAGCCTCTTGTTTGTTCATACTATTACACTTTACTCTTTATACAATAAAGAGTATACAATATACTCTTAATTATGACAATAATGTCATACTTAATTTACTACCTAGGGCAAGACTAACTCTCTAAAGGGATTTTATGAAGCCAAATTTAATTTTGGTTCTAGATATTGAGTGCTTAAAATTTTGGAATTCTTCAGGTTAACTTAAAAAACGGTTCTATCAACAACTAAAATGCCCAGAAGATTAGATAGAAAACATTGGTTAACTATTTTAAAACTACCCAACTAATTTTTTTTTATAGATTAGAATTAGTTGGAATATATGTCTGTGCCTATAATATGAACTTTGGCTTAGTCTGTAGCCAAGGCAATTTTTCTTAGGCAAAATGCTTCTATTAAGGAGAGACATAATATCTCTTAAAAGAAACAACAACAACTAAGTAGGTCTAAAATCATTCCAAAGCTATCCCTTGGGTAAGAAATAGAACAACAATGAATAAAACAACTCAGTTTCCACAAATATGTCATTGTCTTCTTGATAAAAAAGAGGGTGGGGTTGATTTTATATATCAAAATCAGCAGAATTTTCATGTTGTACAGTTTTGTTACTAGAGATCCCCAAATCCCTTGAACTCATTTGGGAAGTGTTCTGAAGATATATTTGATAATAAAAAGCAGCAAAATATCAAAACAATTCTATTGCTAAAAAGCAGCTTCTCCTGCTTGTGCTTTTAGAACACTAGTTGCAAAATGGTAACAATAACAACAAAATTTTAATTTGTGCCATCAATTAGAATTCTAAGGAAGAAGCAAATTGTTTTCTTTAGACTAGTGCAAAGCAGGACATCTATAATCATATTGGGCAAGTATTGACTTTTGGGAGAAATTACCAGAAAATGTCAAGAAAGAGACAATAGTTTTATATTCAGTATTCTAAAGGCATGGTTTAGGTAGTTTAACAATGACTCTGGTAAGACCAGCAGCTCACATGCACACACATAAGTTTTAATGGTTTAAAAAACACAAATCTGTACCCGAGACTAAAGTCACATCCTGACAGCTGTTGTCCTGGTGTGCTGCAGTTCTCAGAATTTGCTGGTCTTGACTCACTGACGAGGGCTGTCAGTGACCCCGGTTAGTGTCCAGATCAGAAACATGTTCTCCCCAGCTACCTGATGGAATGGGTTATCTGTCATTTTTCCTCATACCCATTAGGGAGTTGGTACCTGCCATGATGTGCTATAACCCTTTTCTCTCTTCTAGGGCTACTACAAAGTCCTGGGGAAGGGAAAGTTTCCAAAGCAGCCTGTCATTGTGAAGGCCAGATTCTTCAGCAGAAGAGCTGAGGAGAAGATTAAGAGTGTTGGTAGGGCTTGTGTGCTGGTAGCTTGAAGCCACATGGAGGGGAATTCATTAAATTCTCACAAGTGTTTTTATCTTCTGGTCTGAGTATAGGTTCTTTGGCAAATTTACCTGTGTGTCAGAAACCTGCAGGTTCTAGGAGGTAAGGATATGAGGACTTGGGCTCCTCTGCCAATTCCCCTGAGAAAGAAAGTGTGCAAGAGTTAGCACCAACACTTAGAGGCCTTGGTCTGTTACCTGACTTGAACTTCTCATTTATAAAGTGAAAATGATAGCTGTTGGTGGTGTGTGTGTATAGATAAATATAAAATAGTGGAAAGGCCAACTTACCCCCCCACCCCACAGATTTGTTACTTTAGAAAAGTGAATGCAGTGCCCTTTCAGTAATATTATCACCACAGACTGATTGCTTAGTCCACACATAAGTATTAATAGTAGTTACTTTCTATGGTGATATGGCTTCTCTGCACTAATTCCCTTCAAGGCTGAAAAACTTCAGGGCAGGTTAAGTAAAGACATTTACTCATCAGATCCCACCGATCTCTTGTTTGCTCATTTCCTTAGTAATCTTCTTATTGAAGCTTACTGATCTAATTCAAAGTGTCCTGAGGACTCCAACTCATGTCAACATCATTCTGACTTGATGTACCCATCTCTACTTTCTGTATGGGTCTCTTGCGCTTTCTACATTCCAGGATTTGATGAAGGTCAACAACAACCAAGTGCTCAAGACCAGCAAGGAATATACAAGGATACACAAAGATAGTTTCTCCAACTAACCCATTCTTTCTTTCAATAATTGTAACCATTTGATTGAAGACAGAATCTTGAAATACATAGCTGTTCAAATCTTTGCAGTTAGATTGATGACTAGACCAAAGGCTCTACAGGAATGAAGTTGCTTGTCTCTGGGGTGGTACTATAGTGTTCAGAGGAAGAGCTATGAAATTCTTGATATAAAGCTGGTAGTCCTGAGGATAACAGAATGAGGCATCTAAGGATTCAACAAAAAAATCTTCTGTACCCTTGTTTGTAAAGCCTACCAAAAATTTCATAGTTATTTGCTGTTAAACCTTCTCCTTTCACAAAAAGGATAGTTGTATATCTGCACCTGATGAAGCTTCAGGTTTACCAGAGATATCTTTTTCCTCTTTATTGTCTGACAAATCTGTGTATTCATCTTCTTCCACCTCTGCTTCATCATCTTCATCTTCAATTATTGAACCATTCACTGAAGATGAACCTTTCTTCATCTTGTGTAACACTGTGAGCCGCTGCTACTGAGCCACCAGGGCTGTCTTGGAGCAATAGGGTCACAGGGAACATGAGCCAGATCCAGAAATATTGTTTAAAATCTTTTTATTGTTTCGGTGATTTCCATCATGATCAGCACAATTGAGGTCAGGTCTAGTAATAAGCTCAACTATGTGCACATGGTACAAAAAATGCTTCTGGATTCTTGGTCAAAATTCTGGCTTGTTCACCTCTACCTTTACTAACCACATTAGTCTTGTTATCATGAACTTGCCTTCAACGATCTTTTAAATCAATGATTAAAATTGTAAGTTGCTTTTTTTTAGTCCTTAAGTAAAAAAAATGGCTAAAACCAATTAAATATGTTTCACCTAGACTTACATATGTATATATACAAAATTTAAACACTCTAAATATTGCAAATGTTCTTCAGCCACTATTGAAAATACTGAATCAATTTCAGAGTACTTCTGGAACGACAAAGCAGTGGACCCTTGTGTGGTACTGGGAGAAACAGGGTGGAGGGGACAGGATGAAATGAAATCTATGAATGGACATTTTTATATAGTTTTGACTTTGGGACCCTATAAATGACTTGCATAATTGAAAAGCAAAGTTAAATTCAAAAGGAAACAGAATCCAACTCTAAAACCTTGGTGGTAATATAGATTTTACTAAATGCTTGATGAGGAAGTGAGAAGAAAGGTTATAGTACACACAATACTACAAAACAAACTTGCCAAATTAGATATTCATTCATGGTTTTATTCAATCTCTTAATCCACAAGTACCACAACATCTAAAAACCCCTTCTAGTCCCAGGTAGCATCTCTCACCTAGCAGGAAAAAAATGGTCCTATAGAAAGAGTAGAAACCAACTGTTGCTCCAGCAGGCCCCTTAGGGCCCACTGCATCTTCCATTACAGAGTTCTGCAAGGATGGCATCCCCAGGCCTTTAGTTTTCTCAATATCTGGTTTACATTCTTCTCAATCCCTGGGACACACACTACTAAACAACCTGAACTTCCTGCTTAAAGTCAGTTGATGTCAGTTCTTCCCAACAACACTCTCTAGTCTTCCTTTTCCACCTCCAAATAAATGATGACCCCCTACTTTGGCAACTGTGTGTTTGAACTAGCTTTGATCCGAAAACCAGTCTTGGAGGAGAAAGAAACATCATCTAGTCAGTAGAGATGCTGCTTGAATCAAAACTGAGCCACTGTTTCCACGATCACCTCAAGGGGAGTGATCTATAACCTCTCAGCATTGGGAAACACCTTGGTTTCCCAAAGGGGGCCATCCCAGAACTTCTTTGCATTGTGGTCACATGGTACTCTCACCCATTATGTTTCTATCTTAAGAATATTTTGTAGTAATTCATTTGTCACAAGAATTTTGGCCATAGGTAACCTCTGCTTGCCCACAGCAGGGCTGCCAGCTGAGTTAAAGGTTGTGGCTTTAACTCAGTGTGTCACTCAGTGTGGCTTCAGCTGAGTAACACCTCAGATAATTCAAAAAGGGAGGCCATGGTACCAAACTAATGGAAATACTGTCTTAGAAGATCCTTCCAACTCCATGAAGGCCTTTCTTGGTGTGCAAAGCTGGCTGAATAACTGCACACAATGCAGGCACAACAAGTTTGCTGAGTTTGATTTAGGACACGTTGAGTTTGAAGCGCCAGTGAGATATCTAAGAGCTGTCCATGTTCAGGAAGTATTTGAAACCTGAACTTTGTAAGAGAGATTCAGACTGAAGAAACATTTAAAAATCATCATGTGGTAGGGAGAAGGGCCGTGACTAAAACAGAAAGACTACGGGGGAGGGTAATGTCTAAGAATGAAGGGTGGAGGAAGTAGTCACTGGTATTAAGTGTTGCAGGAAGGTAGATTAAAACTAAGGTAGATTAAGAACTGGACAAATAAGAGTTTTGAAGAGGAGATGTTAGCAGTGGTGGGACCTAGCATTTTGAAGGGCAGGTGGGTATATTCTCCAAGCTTTAAAATAGGAAAAAATGCACAGTGGGACAATAAAAACCACAGCAGCAACAGTAACCATAAAAGACTATGATCTGAGCAGGAGGCTAAAACAAATCTGTGTATTATTTTCCTTTGTTTAGAGAAATTAGCATTTTGTGGCTAGAGGTTTTTTAAAAATATTTTATTTCTTTTAAAAATTTATTTTAAATTATTTTTATTGAGTATGCTATTACAGTTGTCCTGATTTTCCCCCATTGGCTGCCCTCCACCCTTCCCTCAGGAAGCGCCCCCTATTACCTCAGGCAATCCCCCCACCATTGTTCATGTCCATGGGTCACACATGTAAGTTCTTTGGCTACTCTATTTCCTATACTGTACTTTACATCCCCGTGGCTATTCTGTAACTACTTATTTGTACTTCTCACCTCTTCACCCACTCTTCCCCTCCCCGCTCTCATCTGGCAATCATCTGGTAATTAACTTCTTTTCTCTTGCTGCTTTTAAGATTCTCTCTTTAACCTTTGGCCTTTTAATTATGATGTGTCTTGGGGTGGGCCTCTTTGCCTCCATCTTGTTTGGGACTCTCTGTGCTTCCTGTACTTCCATGTTTATTATCTTCACCAAATTAGGAAAGTTTTCTTTCATTATTTTTTCAAATATATTTCCAAATTCTTGCTCTTTCTCTTCTCCTTCTGGCACCCCTGTGATGTGAAGGTTGGATTTCTTGAAGTTTTACCAGAGGCTGCTTACACTATCCTCATTTTTTAAATTGTTTTTTCTTCGTGTTGTTCTGATTGGTTGTTTTCTGATTCCTTATGTTCCAAATTATTGTTTTGATTCTCTGTTTCATCCACTCTACTGTTTGTTCCCTGTAAATTGTTCTTTATTTCAATTAGTGTATCCTTCGTTTCTGACTGGATCTTTTTTATGCTGTTGATATCCTCACTAGGTTCCTTGAGCATCTTTATAAACAGTGTTTTAAGCTCTGCATCTAATAGATTGCTTATCTCCATTTTGTTTAGTTCTTTTTCTGGAGTTCTGACCTGTTCTTTCATTTGGGCCATGTTTGTTTGTCTCCTCATTTTGGCAGCCTCCCTATGTTTGTTTCTCTGTATTAGGTAGAGCTGCTATGGCTCCCTGTCTTGGTAGTGTAGCTTGTAGGTAGTAGATGTGTCTTGTAGGGCCAAGTGGTACAGCCTCCACTATTACCCAAGCTGGGTACTCGAAGTGCACCCTTCCCATAGGTTGAGTACACCCTTCTCTTGTAGTTGAGTCTTGACTACTGTTGGCAGGTTAATGGGAGGGATTTACCCAGGCCAGTCAGCTGCAGGGACTGGCTGTGACCACTTACCAGCAACCTCAGCCTTCTGTGGAGGATCAGCTGTGCAGGGGCAGGGTGATGGTGCTCTGATGTGGTCTGTAGTTGTTCACTGGGTACACAGGGTCTGGCGTTTTCTAGGTGGTATAGGCCAAATTCAGCCCCCTCCTGTGTTTTGCCCAAGGCCACTCTGCCTGAGCTATAAAGCAATCCTAGAAGGCTGCTACTTATGCTGGGCTTGGAGATTCC